CCCTGCTGGGAATAACTCAGTGTTGCTCCGGTCCCAGCCTGCAGCAGTCTGCAGCCTGTCCCGCCCTGCATACACATCGAGGGGCATGACCTCCTGGGGTGCATGCAGTGGTGGGAGGTACCACTCCCTGGATGAGCTGCTTCTGGCTCCATGCCATGCTCCACCCCGGCTGGGCAGCACCTGCCCTTGCTCCAGCCCCACTCCTTCCCTCACCCTGGGGGTCTACAGAAGCAGGGCTGGGGGGGTGGGGCTGCAGCCACTCCAGAATTCACTATACAGAATTCACCCGCAAACCTCCCTCCCAGCCCTGCCACCACCCACCTCAAGTGCAGCCTGGCCCAGCCCCTGCCAGGAAGAGCACAGTGCTGCCCAGGCCCGTTACCCCCACCAGGAAGAGCCCAACATAGCCTCTGGCCCCAGCCCCGCGCAGATCCAGAGGCACATACCCACCCCCCCCCCCCTGCGCATAGCAGCGGGTGCTGTTTTCTCTCTCTGCCTCGACCTGCCCCCTCTCCCCCCTCCCCCCCAACTTACCTACTGGGTTGGGGGTGGCAGCAGTGCATGGTAGATCTTGTGTTGCTTTTAGATGCCAAAGGTGATCTCCTACTTAAAACCCACTGCCCTAGGATTACGCGTACCTCCAGTTCACAACCACTGAGCTAGCATATTACCTACAATGTCCACTAGGTGCTAGGTGCACAGATATTACCTGATTACATACATGGCTCACGTAACTAACTCAGACCACTTTCAGGAAAAATGTCTCAATGCATGCTACATGTAAATTACAAATGCCCAATTTTGCACCGTTTGAAATCAATGGAAAAGCTTCCATTACTTCAGTTGTATCCTAATCCCCTTAAGTAGCGGTTCTTTTCCTCTAAGATGACAGATCCACCTGTGCCACTATATTAGCTCAATAGCATTAAGGATGAGAAGGGTGCTGAGGGACAAACACTGCACAAGTTCAAACTCACTGCAGCAGGGCCAAATGCAGCACAGGCATCAAAGCACACTTCACCCTAGTAGAGTCTGGGATGGATTCAGGTTAGCAGCCTCTGGACACCCAGGGGCCCCAGCTCAGCAGTGACATCAAGGCAGTTAAGGCAGATCTCAGCTGTGCATGTCAGGGTACCTGCTGGTGTGGAACTGGATGGGCAGCCAAAGGAAAGCTCAGGGTTCAGGAGTGGGAGCTGAGGCTAACTCAGTTCTCAGATCATGGGTGGGTGCTGAGAAAAAGCCAGGACAGGAAGTGCTGGAGACAGAAGCACTCCTCTGTTTGTACTGTTTGATTAAAGACTCCCAATCTGCATGTAGGGAATGAGGCCAGAGACCTGGTGAGTTTGTGCAACTTTGCCTGCCACCTGCAAATCAGTCTGAAACCCTGGGGAGGGTTCGTTGTTTACCTCCCTCTACGCAGAAGAGTTTCCTGGCTACAAAGGAGCCAGAGTCTGCCTAGAACAGTGGGGGTTTCCCAACCTGTTTTAGCGAGCAGTTAATTTCTATTCTTAATCCCAATCCAAATGCTCCCAGGCTGAAAGAGTTGGTAGGTGCTAGTATACTAGGTTCCCAAGGGCCCTACCTGCTCTATTATCTGCAGCCTCTCCCTGGAAGGCAATAGATTAGACCAGAGCTTTCCAAACTGTGTGCCACGACACATTAGTGTGTCGGCAGCAGTGTGTAGGTGTGTCGCGCGAAATGCAGAAAATTTTGCGGAAGGGCACCGCAGAGCTCCCTTACTCGCGTCTGCTTCCCTTGGCCCCTCCCCCAGAACTGAATTACTGTGTCACGAAATGATGCATGTCTAAAAAGTGTGTCACCAACATGAAAAGTTTGGAAAGCTCTGGGTTAGACTGATAGGAAACTCCCCCATAAAATAGTAAGGTTGAGAAGCACAATTAAGTGGCATGAAACACTTAATGATATAGCCCTAGAACAATGCAGGGTTTAATGAAATAGCTTGGTTGGTTCATCAGACAGCACAGTATCAACTTGCAGCCAGGGAAAGACAATTCAGGCTGAGAAATTGGTGCAAGCAGCCTCACACACGAAAGAACAGGAGGGTTTTGTCTCGGAGACACTAGCAATGAATGCTGAGCTGAAAGCTCCTGTCCCCATTCCAAAAGATAGCACACAGCTGCATGCACGAGCGCGGCGAAGCTCAAAGCCCTGGTGGGTGATATTCAAAACATTGCCCTTTTTTGGTGTTAAAACAATGGGAATACATATGAAAAAAAAAGGCTGATCTGCACAGCAGGCCCTTTCCTCATGAATAGGCTTGTGTGTGGGCTTCTTTAACTTTGATCTGGAGGGAAGCGAGCAATTCTTCCTGCAGCACTTCACACTGTTGCTGTGCTTCTGAATCACATCTTAAAGGCATCTATTTATTTTCTCCTTCTAGCGCCTAATCCAGATCCCATTTAGGTCCCTGGGAGCTTTTTTGTTGTTTTCACTAAGAGCTGGTACGGCCTCTTGATGTCAGGGCAGCATAAGCCTTGCATTTATTGACAACCGGTGACAACCAAAACTACCACAAGTGGCCCTGCCCTCAGGCCTCACATGGAGGCATAGCCTGTAGGGTGACAGAGTTCAGCTCCCTTGGCTCATTCAGATGCTGGAAAAGGCTGGGGATTAGCGGCTGCTATGAGGGATGCTTATTCCTCTGGAACCGGACCAAGATTACTGGCCTCATTTCGCAAGAGCCTTGGGAGGATGCTGCGTGGGATTCTCAATGGTGCTGGCCAGTCTAACCCAGATATTTGGCTTCCTAGGGACAGAGCTAGACCATTGTCAGCTGCTTTTGAAAATCCCACCCTTCCACAACCGCTGAGATCAAGGGGCCATCTTGTTCTATTAGGTGCCTTTGACAACAGCCAGAGCCAGCTGCTCCAAGGGCTTGCCAGAAGCTTTGTAGGAGGTAGGACGAAGATAAACTGCCATCAACAAAGTATCCTCCAAACTCCCTATAGTTCAAGGCCAACATATGGATCCAGATCCTTGACCCAATTTTGGCCTCCACACTTTTTCCAGGCTGGCCTTCATCTGGCCAAATAGCACCAAAAGCCTCTTTGGCCATCCACAAACCATCCAGTCCCCTCAGAATCAAAGCTGTTTTAAACAGGGGCTCCCTAAATCTTCTCGCAGCAGGACTGGACTGCCAGCCGCCACAATGGAGGTTTGACCCAGAGAGCTGAGCAGGGATGAGCACATGCCCAGAGCAGAGCTCTCCAGATGTTCCTCTGGCCTTATGTGAGGCTGTAATGTTTGCAAGGGACTGAAGCATGAACTGGCCCATTAATACTAGCAGGTGCGAGCAACAAAGGAGGAAGAGGAAACCCTGATAATCGGGCGGAAAAAATGGCAGAAAGATAAACCTTCCTACAAAAGCCTTGTGAGACGGTATTAATAGTTAACTTGCCCCCTTTGTGGGCTGCCGGGACCAGTGACATGCTAAAGAGGAGATATTTACCTTGCAGAGCAAATTTGTCCTTCATTGTGCCCAATTATTATTGTTGTTATTTGCTCTTCGCCTTCTGAAAGATAAAGGGAAAGCATACAAGCCATCCTCAAACTGCAGGCACAGCCTCCCCTATCTCCCTGCCTGCGTCCTCAGAAAAAGAGAGGATGCTAAACACAGCCCTTTGAAATATGGGAGGATAATTGATCCTCTGACGTTGAGAAGCCCACAGAACTCCTAAGGGAGTGCAGGTATAAAAGAGGAGGTGCACCTCCCTTAGTAGCTGGAGAACAGCCGCTGTAGGTGGGGGAGACCTGAAAGAGGTCTCTTCAGCACAGTCTCCCTAAGATCCTGTGCAGGTGAAGAACTCAGGAGAAAGAAGCCCACTCTAGTAAGCAGCAAAAGCTGGAGAGAGAGTGGTATTTTTAACAGAAAGAGGAGACCTCCTAAAGAGCAGCAGAGCTGGGAAGATCCTATTTCCCTAGGGAACGGTAAGTTTGATCCTGTGCATGTGGGTTTAACAAGGTACCTGCTATTTGGAAACTGGGAACAATTCAATTCCACTACAGCAAAAGCAGACCTGGTATCAGTGATCAGCTTAATTAGACATAACATCCTCTGTATTGATCAGAAAAGCTTTATGGGCTTAAGTTACAATATGAAATAAGTAATAATTGACTTATATGATACATAGTAAATGTTATAGTTATGATACAATAGTAGAATAATGTTATAGACCTTGCAAAAACAGACTGGACATTTATTTGACCAGGTATAAAACTGACTCCCTCCTGTTCCAATACTGATGATGTCCATCACCAAGTAATAATATTTTAATCATTCAATATGAAACATTCATTTGAGCCATACCAAAAGGGTGAGTTGAAATGTGAAAGATTGTGGCAGGTTGTGCAAAGTCAACTGGAGGATAGCAAAGGAAGCAATTTGAAAATGCATGTCCTTCTCTGATGTGATATTTTACAGTGTAAACATCTGAACTTTACAGGACTGTGGAGTGGTGAAGACTTCATTGCATTGGTGTAGTGGGATTTTCAGGATTGATTAGACAAGGTCCCAGAAACAGGATAATCTCATCTTTCCAATTGCCTTTTCAAAAATACCACAGCATTAAAACTGTCTTTGGGGTCCCAGGTAGCTGCATTGGCTAATCTTTTGTACTTGCATTAAGAATTTTTCATTTCAAAGTGTTTTCTTTTATTATTATTACCCGCCCCCCCCTCAAACCCCCCCCCCACCCACCCCAGGTGCTAGAATGGAAAGTGGAAAAGTGAAATGAAGACCATTAGGACAGGGCTAAGATTTTGCAGGACTGTAAATCTGGAAATATTTAGACACCTGGCAATCCTCCCACTTGCCTTGTGAAATATTTAAGAAGCAAATAGGACTTTAGCTCCAGGTCCCCTCTGAAAGAGCTGGAAGAAATACCAAGGGGAAGAGAGTGAGATCGAAAGAGAGGACTGAGGGG